CTTTGCCTCTGTAGTTTTTCCCCCTACAGCCACTCACTTTCATGGCTGCAGGTCAGTGCCCCTTCTTCCATCCCCTCCACTTGCTGTTTGGTTCAGTGCAGCACAGCGGAGGCCTAGTGCATGGAGCATTGAGAGAGACACAGGCCAAGCCCAGAGGTATGGGGGCTAACACTTGACAGGGAGCTGGGTAGAAGCTAAGTCATTGCCCGTAAGCCTGGGGAGTGGAAAGACTGTGGCCTGACTGTGCTTTTGCAGGATTACACATTGGGGAAGGGTTAGGAGGAGTTACCCTTTTCTTGTTGTAACTTGGCAGTTGCTGTCTGGGTGGGAGGCCAAGGTGTTTAAGTCCTTGTCCCACAAATTTAAAGCCAGGGCCATCACTAACTAATGTCACATCTTAGCATGCAAGTTACGGTGGGTCTTTATGGGAACTAATTGCATAGAACAACCTCATCACCACCTGGCTGCATCACTGAAAACTGTGCTGGGGCCCAACTAGTGCGGTTTGGGAATTTTCAGATGAAAATGACTTTCATTGGAAAAATTCCAATTTGTTGAGGCTAAGATGTTGTGCAGAAACATATCTAGTTTGACAATCTCTGAAACCAAATGCAGGATCCAGACAGAAGCCTGCCTGGTTTCCTGCTATCTCACCTGGTGGGCTGCTGAGCCTAGGCTTACAGGGTTCACAGCTCTGGGTAGCCCCCACTATACAGGCTATCTGAGGACACCAGGGCTTCCAGGTTCCCAGAGGCCACAAAGCTAGATGCTGGGAGCTCCAGTTCTAGCCAGGGCTTGGCTTACAGTTCCATGGCAGGGAGTCTGGAAGCCCTGAGAATCCTGGTTTAAACTAGGTCTTTCTGGCTTCTAGGCTCACTGCGGCTGCTGCAGAGGTAGGAGCTTGGGTGTCCTGTGGCAGGGTGCAAGGGGCCTTGGCTCCAGGGCAGTCCCACCATGCTGACTGCCCAAGGGCCAGGGACCCCAGGACTTTGGAGGTGGTGATGACTATGCATTGAAAGTGTAGATCACACCACTTATCTGGCCTTTTTCCTTGTTCTGCAGGGCTATTTTTGAGACCCGAGCAACACATTTTTGGTCCGGATTTAATTATTTCACTGCTGTGTAATTTTGTACAGGAATCGCTAGGTCATTACAAGCCCTCATCTGAATGCAGTTCTCCTGGTATAAAAGGTGCTTCTACTGGTATAGCTTATTCCTGTAAATGCATACAAGTAAACTATACCAGTAGAAGCACCTTTATACTGATATCTCGGCCTTCACATTAGGGTATTGCACCATATTACCTTTATTGGTTTCTAAATGAACATCGGCATAGCGGTGCAAACACCCCCCCCCCACACAAAAAAAAAAAAAAAAAAAAAACTGCTTGTAGACAAGCCCTGAAAGTGATGTGCATTTCCTTCCCCTGTGGCATAAAACAGAATAAGGGATGTGTGGGGAGAAGCAGACTGGCCTACTGATTATCACCCTCCCTGTCCAGCTGCCTCAACTTTAGTGACAGCTTTTTCATACAATTTGCATCAGAATACTGGCATGGTTGGCATTTAGACGTCATGTCTTGCTGTATCAATCTACTAAAAAACATACTATATTCAGTTTCAAACCAGGTAATAAGTGATTGCTATAAGAACCAGTGTCATTAGAATCGGATTACAAACAGACCCACATTTTTTTCCTGTTTTTCCATGTGCTCCTGTTCACCCCATCCCCCCCAACCAAGATAATTAATCCTTACCTACTTGTGCTTCTCCACTGAGTCATGATAAGATGATTGTGTGTCGCTCACAGTGTTAAGGTACCAGGATTAGTTCCCATTTCATAGGTTTTAGTAGTTGTTCCAACACGCTATGGTTAGCGAGACCACAGCATTTTAGTTTGAGGTCTAAAATTTTCTCTTGCTTGTGTGTGCTGAGATGGGCCCCCATAGACAAACTGCAGCACTAAGGGTGTGGCTTGAATAATGTTTATTGCATTGTCCAAGCTAGCATTGCCTCTGATCACTTCCAATGCCTGTCCAGTGAGTGCTCCAATTCTTCTACAACTTGAGGCTTTATATGAGGGGCTTGTCACAGAAACTTGTGCAGCATCTTTTCTCTCCCTCATGCTCTCCCCCACACCACCTCTTTGAGAAACAGGAATTGAAGGCTCACTAGACCTGCAAGCCTCATATTCTGAGCTGACTTAGATCAGAAACTTCTGTTTAGAATGGGGAAGTGCAAATGTTCCAGTGGCTTGAACACAACTTTGAAACATTCTGACGCTGATCTATGCTTTAAATACTAACTGTGTTTTATTTCTCAAGTGCAAGTAGTTTTATAAACAGGATCCTCAAGCACTACATACTCCAAACAGTATGCAAGCGGTCTAGCTTGCTCCTAGAATTTTTTAAAATTAAGCAGCTGTAGGATTATATACTGAATGATCAAATTAGACCCATAAGGGGACATTCAGCACAGTGTTATACTTGAAATGAACATTTAAAAACATTTTTTTCACTCTCAAAGTACAGATTGCTCACATCTAGTGCAAACAATGCCCCTGCATTAGTGCATTAGGACATTGAAAGCATCAGAGAAACTGACAAGGAAGCCATTCTGGATTCAGGATGTGACCTAGCATGGCAGGGGCCTGGGACCCCCTTCTTTCCCCCAGGACAGGAATCAGCGCTCCCCTGCCCACAGGAGAGGCAGAGGTTGCTAGGGAGAGAACTTTCCCCAACAACTGAATATCTGCTTGGGTGGGGTCCACCATAGTCCACTTCTCCTACCACATGTCGAAAGCCTATTGTGGGGAGGAAGAGGTGTAGAGTTTGCAGGCAATCCAGAGCAATAAGTCTGGCAGTTTACAGCCACTGAGATACACAAGGCAGCTCACCTGTCAGAGCTATGATTTCAGTGGGCTCAGCTAGTGGTCACTACACAAGTCACATTTTTCAATGTTATCTTCACAAGCATGAAAACTATAAACTTACCTTTTTAAAAAAATGAAAGCAGAGAGTCTGATGTAATCACATGACTCCAGGAATTGGGGCCATAGATAGGGGCCAATAGTGTTTATGCTTTAATCTAGCCCTAGGAGTTGAGTCCTTTTAGCACCATTAAACCCACACCCCAAATTTTTAGGAGCGCAACAACCTGTTCAGTTTTAAGTGCATATAGAGGTGTCATCCAGCCCAGGTGGATCAGGTCTACCTGTGAAAGACTTATCCAGTCCAGCCTTGTTTCAGAGAGGTATGTAGGTAAAAAGCCAGATCCACAGCTGGGTCTTTTCTACATTAGTCATTTTTTACCTTGAGTTAATTGATTGCCAATTAACTTGAGTTACTTAACAGGGCTGGAAAGGTAATCTGGACACTCCCCAAATGTTTGTTCCAGAATACAAAGGGATTGTGGTTTACTTTGCAGCCTAGTATCCACACCAGCCTTTACAACAATTACCTTTTGAGCTAATTGGCAACAAACTTGAGGTAAAAAAACTTTACTGTTGACCTGGTCTAAATCCATGTAGCTAACTGGCCTCACTGATGCTGTGCTTATTTACAACAGCTGAAGATCTGGCTGAGGCTGTTTGATTATTATATTCAATTAGAAATTGTCGCTAGGCTAACTGTATGTCAGTGCTGCATCTATATGAACTGGTGAATGCAGGAGCTCAATTTTCCATTTTTATGTATAAATTCCATCTCTTGATAGCAGTAAACCAACTAGGGAGTGTATTTGAAGGTCATACCATTACTGAAGTGCTTTAAATCACTTGGCCTTTGGTCTTGTGCTTTATAAAGCACTTTGAGTTATGCTATAATTGCCCAGAAACACATTGCTTGTCATGCTTAAAGGTACATTTGTCAGGGTTGGCAGCCCCACAATTTGATTTACCTTCCTAAAATGATTTTCCAAAATGGTTTAATTTTTAAAGTTCCTGGGTTCCCAACTTCCATGATTTTGTCATGAGTCTAGTGATAGCTGATGTTTTTCTCAAAGCCCAATGGCCCAGATTCATGAGGATCTCAGTTTTCATGAAAAAAGTAAGTTTCTAGGCCTCATGTTTACATAGACAAGCTTGAAAATGTGACCCAGGTGCAGCTTAAAAGATCAGAAAGTAGAAGACAAACACAATGAGCCCAAAATTTGTAATTAACCTTCCCCCCCCCCCAACAAAAACAACCTCATGATTTTTGAATGAGTGGGTGTGGCAATACTGAAGTTCATGTAATTCTTTATTGATGTACTTTATATCTATGTATTTAAATTAATAAAATCAATTCCAAAAGCCTCATTACATGCAAGGCTATGAAAACAACCTGCTATGGGGATGCAAGGGTGACAACAACTTATTTAGTGAGGAAACTTACAAACAATAAACAATTAAAAAAAGATGTTAAGAGCTATGAAAAATACTAGTGTCCTTTTAATATAAACAACTGTGCAATGTTTGGTTAATATAGCACTTTGTTTTGGGATTGTATAATACATATTCACCTTACCCCAGCTGATAAATTTGAGATTTTTTTTTAAAACTACTCTCACATGTTATATTTTCCTAAATAAGAACCCAAACTACATAAAAAGGAAAACACCTGGAAACCCATATCATGAGTGAGGAAGAAACATTAATTAATTTTTATCACAGAGCTTTATAATGGACTGTATAAAGTTTCCTACTGTAATTGGTATATACATTCAACAGTTTTATTGTATATCCGAGCACATAATTTTGCTCAGCTGCTGGAGAGGCATTGCTGAACTTTCTTTTCCATCACAAACACCTATTAAGCAGTCAGCATAAACTCTTCTTGTTACAACCCCGACATCACCCCCATGGCAAGTGGACACAGAACAGCAATTGCTGAATTGTGTATGAAAATTATAGTTTTATTGTCTACACAACTGAAGGTTTAACTCTGACTTCTGCTCCAACCAACTCTGTATAAAGAAGTAATTCTTTCGCAGAACAAATAAGCACAGTACACCATTGTAATCTAAGGAACAGGCACTATTTATGTATTGGAAAGACTTGTTCACAATAGTGCTAGCAGTTTAATGGTCCAGAAGCCACTACTTTAGCAGCTGTAGAGGAAGAAAGCATGAACAACACGATATTATACAGAATTGGTTATAGCCTTTGAGAATACAAATGAAATCATCCCTGTTGACACAACTGTCCTATCTGTTAGTTTAACAAGCACGATTGATAGGTAGGGACCATGTATTTAATGTTGATATAAGCGTCTTCTCCACCATAGCGCTCAAAGGCTTCCAGTGTCTCTTGAATCAAATCTCCAATATTTTCACGCTTCTGCTGGCTGTAGTCAATACCGTCTCCTGAATTCACTGGTTAATAAAAACAAAATACAACATTATGTTAGAGTTTTCCGTGTAGCTTTCTGAAAACACGACATAGCTAAATAGAATTGCTGGTCAATCACAATAACTTCACTGCAATCTTTATCCTGTGACATATAATGTTGCAGGATTTAAATATATGAAATTCTATCTATCCATTCATCATCCATCCTGTTTCCATTGAACTTGTCAATATAGTCTAAAATATATTTGTAATGTGCCCATTATCTTAGTATCTAGGTGCTATTCTGGATTTTAAAAATATAGAAAACAAATTTTATTAACATCCACAGGCTTTGTCTCTGGAAACAGTCCCATAGCTAGTCAGTAACATCTTAAGACCATTACTGCTTCATTTCATAGTGACAGTTGGGACAAAACTCAATTGCCAGATATATAAATGCTTATCTCTGAAAAGCTAGGGTCTGCTGTGGTATATGAAATCCTTAGTGGGATGCTTTTTTGGGATTGTTCCATGCTAAACACCAGATCCACATGCCTACAGTGTTTCAGATAGTGGAGCTCAAAGAGGGGGTGTCACTTGGCCGAAGAGATATATTTGGAGCACAACACACCACTCAATCTACTTCTACTCCCTGAAAAATGTGTTACATTAAGTTAATGTCAAGAGGACAAATTATTCTAGCTCTTAGACAGAACAACAACTGTCACAGCCTTCTTTAACATGGAGCAGGTTGAGAACTGGCTGTGTTGTTTATTTGTACACAGACAGCATATTAGCTAATGTAAAAAGCTCAGTGTAAACTGCTGCACAAAAGTTTTAAAAATGCAAAACAGTGATGGATAATTCTGCTCCCAGGGATTTTAAGAGAGATTTAAAGGGGAAAAATGTATTACAATTTACCAGAAAACAGCACTTCAAAATCTCCAAAGATCTGACTCTCTCAGCATGAATATTCTCCAAAAAGTACATCAATAATAATTTGTTAAGGACACTGGATGGCTTAGGGAATTGTCAATGGGCTCTAGTCCAGCCAGGATACATAGTCACTGGTAGTGGTTACTATCTGATGCTTGTTTGGTGGTCCATGGGAAATTAGTTAGTGGCCTCACTCCAGTTATTAGTGGACAAGTATCAACATCATAAAATTCAGAATCTCAAATAATACTATCTGGCCATTTCATTGACAGGCTTAGCAGACAGGCCAAGGATACAATTATCAAGGACACTGAAACAACTTCTCACTGCTAGAGACAATGGTTCCTTTCAGGTCAGGACTAAGGCACATTAAAAGAGTGGGCCATGCCTGTTCTTCAGAGTGCAGATCTACAAGGCCCCAATCCAGAAAAGCACTTAGCCACATGCTTAGTTTTAAGCACATTAATTGAATGGGACTACTTACATATTTAAATTTAAGCATCATTCATGCTTAAGTGTTTTTCTGGATTTGGGCCCAAATGACTCCTAGAGCTAGATCTGGATTTCTGTAGTTCTTACAGAGAGAAACTGGTAAAAATTTTGCAGCCCTGTACACATGCAGAGATCAGCTGAACAGTGGTTATGTGAAAAATCATTGTAATGGTAGAAATTTGATCCTAGAGAACTGCTAACACTCTGTTACAGTTATATGTATAACAATTTATCAACCTTGTAAACGCTTATGCATTATTTATTTGCAAAATGTTGTATAAAATTATGGTATGTAAAGACAGGTATTCTCATCTGAAAGATATTATGATGATGGCTCCCTTTTAAAAAAATCACCTCTCTCTATCTGATTACATTAGTAATTTCAGAACACATTTGTGACACCACGACTATGGAAATGGCTATGATGTTAGAAATAATGGACTATACCATCATGTGGAAGACAGCAACCTAGTATTGCAGCAGATTGTTTTAATTTACACAAAATGGGTTGTCAACCAGCAATGGTAAGAAAGAAAGGAAGAAAGAAAGGAAGGAAGAAAGAAAGCATTACAAATCAAATGGTGTTTTGGTTAAATATGCTTTTATCTAACAAAAAAGGCCTTAGATTGATGGTAGCACTTCATCTATGAAGAGAACTGTACTGCCAACATTCCTGACAGCGCCTGAAGGTATTTGTGATTTCATTAGCTGCAGCAGGGGAAGCCCTGAACTTACGTCTTGGCAGATAAGTAAAGGAATTATTGATTTTCAAATTGTTTGCTAAAACCTGTAATTTTTAATCCTACATTCTCTCTGATAACGAGCTTAAACAGCTTTCATATGTCTTAAAAAAGTCCATTCAAAATGCCATAATATTGAAGTAACAGTGATATATCACAAAGTGGGAGATCTGGATTAGGTCTCCAGAGGATGACTATGCACTTCAGTTGTGGTGGGGGCAGGATGTATATCTCAGCTGTTTCCTGTGCAGAAGAATTTGTAGAAGCATTCAATACTGGGACAAGACGTGTAAAATATTTGCTAGATTAAATGGCTTGGAGGTTTGATTAAAAGGTACCTGATAGGGTTAGGCAATGATAAGGGAAACAGTATGCAAGGGATGGCTGAAGTGATGTGCAGACTATCATTACAAAAAAAATGTCATCAGACATGCACAACCTGTGCAAGGTTCATATCCTCAAGACAGTCATTGTCCACTCTAATTTCAAGACACAGCTTACAAATGACTATACCAAAAAGGTTATTGCAGCATTGAAGTCATCTGCTAAGTACCACAATAGCCATCCTACATAGCTATAGGAATTAGCAAATCTTTCAGACAAATAAAGTAATGATTAACCCAACAGGACAATATCCACCCCAGCATTTGTCAACACTAGATGGATGAGCCAGACTGATTTCCTCAGCACACCTCAGGCTAAATATCTAGTCATAATAATGATGAGTACTTGGAAAAAAATTGCTACCGAATTACAGCAGTCTCAGTATGTCCTTCTCCGGTTTAACTTTATTTCACTGTTGGCTTGTATATGAAGCCCATGTTGTCAGCCACAGAAATGCTGCATATGCGATGTGTGAACATGGATTTGATTCATGCTCTTTAAGAAGCTGTCCTTTGCAACAGTAATCAACAAGAAGGAAATGTTAGAAAGCACATTTGTCATACTATGATGTCAAAGCGAAATGTCTGGCAGATTCAGCATGGATCAAGAAAGCTTGTCCTTAGAGAAAATGTTGTTACTTGTATAGAACATGCATATTGAAGGAATACTAAGATTTCAGGTTTAGAGGACTGGAATTGGGAAAATATTTTTTAATTCCTTTCCTGGATCAAAAAAATAGTTTCTCTGCCTCCTAAGCTCTGTACAACAGTATATGATACTCAAAGGTGAACTGAAAGGCTTTTTACCTGTCAAGACCTGCTTTAGTTGATGAAATCACTAGAACAAAGATATGCAGGAGTGGCATTCCTTACACTGCTCTAGTGAGCAGGGCCGGCTCCAGGGTTTTCGCCGCCCCAAGCAGCCAAAAAAAAAAAAATAAAATAAAAGCCACGATCGCAATTGCGATCTGCAGCAGCAATTCGGCAGGAGGTCCTTCGCTCCGAGACGGAGTGAGGGACCATCCGCCGAATTGCCGCCAAATACCTGGACGTGCCGCCCCTCTCCGGAGCGGCCGCCCCAAGCACCTGCTTGACAAGCTGGTGCCTGGAGCCAGCCCTGCTAGTGAGGCCATCTGCTGTAGCAGGGGAAACACAGAGCTCTGAAGGCCTCAATACAGGTCTGCGGAGGAGAGTAAAGGAGGATGTGAAGTTTGCTTTAAAATGTATTTGAGGCTAGACATGATTCGTATCCTATTCTTTAGTATCCTGAAACAGGATACTACAGTATTATTTGTTTTCCAGTTTATTTAATTTCAGCTCATTTTTAAGTTTCGGAGAGTTAGTATTACAAATACAAATATTAAAATCACGACATATTAAAGAAGGAAAAGCAAAAAATCTCTTAGTGTTAAGGATTGAGTATATAAGGGCAGTCGCCATGTCCTGAGGGGAACCAATTTGTAAGATTCAATCTGATCTACTCTTATCTCTGGGAGTTCTTTAGAATCTTAAAGTGTACTAAAAATTCTTTTAGTTTACTAGTGCTCTCTTTTAGGCAGACCTGGTCTCCTTCTATTCAAGGTGTTTTAATCTGCTGGATGTGCTGAAGCGCCTCTATGTAAATCAATGGTACTAAAGCTTGCCATTGACAATGACTGTTTCCAAGGTCCTCCTTCATGGACGACATGAATTAAAACTGGAATGGCTGTACAACCATAAAGGTAGAAAAGTCATAGCATTTGGAATATTAGAACTTCCCAAGATTTTAAATTCTTCAAATCTGCTCAGGTCTTATTGAAAAGAATGAGATTCAAGCAGACAGCTGAAGAGACTTTGAAGCAGGCCCTTTACTCTGAGCTTAAACATTTTTTTTTATAACAAAGACGTGAGACTGTAGTCAAAGACCATTCAACTATTTCATTTCTAATGCACAAAAAAAGGATTTAAAATGTGTATTCTGGGATATTCTGATTCCAGCAGACATTTTTGAACAAATCAATAGTAAATAATATCAATAATACATAGCTCTATATACATTATTATATAATATATAATATATTAAATAATATATTATAACAATAATAATCAATAGTAAATAATAACAATAATACATAGCTCTTAGGTATCGGTTTTCATTCATAGATCTCCATGCACTTTACTATGGAGGGTAAGTATCATGCTTCCCTTTTTTCATTTGAAGAAACTGAGGCACAAGGAAGTGAATTTTGCATCCTTTTGCCAAAACTCTACTTCCCTTTACCAGTTGGTATCAATCCTTATTGCCATCTCAAATGCGATGAAGAGGGTGAAATTCTAAACTACTCCTTTGCTTCACCTTGTGGCCTGGACTGTTTTAAATCATCATCATTGTGTAGCTGGATACAGTCCATTTAATATGCCTTAGGAACCTCATTTCAAGAAGTATTATCTCTATTCAATATACTGCAATATTGCTCCACCCAGTGTTCGCAGAGAGGAAAACGTAGCAAAGCT